TCCCTCATTACGGAAAACAAAAGCAATGTAGATGTCTAGACTGTCACTGGCTTACTAAGTGTTAGTGCCAGAGCTGAGGAGAAAGCAAGGACCCTCTGGGTCCCTTACGAGAATCTAACGGAGCTGCTGTGCTTGAGGAAAGCCTTGTATACATGGTACTAAGTTAACTTGCCTCTCACCTGGGCCCAATATCTGGTATCTGTGTCGGTATTCCTCTCGGGAAGTTTGACAGAGTGGTGAACCTTGCGTCCACCCAGTGTGCCAGCCCTTGGCTTGGGTGACCCTGCCTGTGAGGATGAGGCATGGTCTCACTGGTGGCCTGCCTGCCTCCTCACGTGGCCACATTCTTGGGTAGTGACATCTGCTGGAACGTCACCATGGTAGCCACAAATCAGGTAAAAGAAGCAAGTTATTTATCTGGGAAATAACTGAAGGAGTAAGTGTGTACGTTTCTAGAAACTCAAGTCTTAAAGGAAAACAAAAACGTTTTACTTTTAAAGAACAGCTATCTGGCTGGGCTCCGTGGCTCAGCCTGTAATCCCAGCACTTTGGGAGGCCAAGGTGAGTGGATTGCCTGAGCCTGCGGGTTCGAGACCCGCCTGGGCAACTTGGTGAGACCTCATCTCTACAATAAATCAAAAATTAGCCGGGCGTGGTAGCATGTGCATGTAGTTCCAGCTACTTGGAAGGCTGAGGCAGAAGGATCACTGGAGCCCAGCAGGTTGAGGCTGCGGTAGTCGGGAGCAACCACTGCACTCCAGTCTGAGTGACAGAGTGAGACTCCAACTCAAAATAACAATAATAATAATTAAAGAACAGCTAAATGAATAAATCATTGTCAAATAATTGAAAAAGAGAGGCTGGGTGCAGTGGCTCACCCCTGTAATGCCAGCACTTTAGAAGACAGAGGCAAGAGGATTACCTGAGTCCAGGGGTTTGAGACCAGCCTGGCAACTTGGCGAGACCTTGTCTACAATAAATCAAAAAATTAGCCAGGTATGGTGGTGCATGCCTGTGGTTCTAGCTGCTTGGAAGACTGAGGTGGAAGGATTGCCTGAGCCCGGCAGGTCGAGGCTGTGGTGGCTGTGAGCATGCCACTGCACTCTAACCTGGGCGACAGAGTGAGACTCTGACTCAA